GCCAGTCTAAGACAAGGACCACTTTGTGTCCCAAAACAGTCACTCTAATAGATTCTGACCATAACTGATTAGAGGCATTAACATGAATATATTCTCTTCATGGATCACAAAGGGCAACAGTAAATGCATCCATCTCTTCTACCTGTCATCTTTGGGCTAAATAGTAGGGTAGACTGGATAATTTAGCCTTTTCTGGCAACCATTTTCAATTCAAAACCATGGAGAAGAAAATGGAGAAACCACTCCACTATCTTTCCCAAGAAATCATTGCTAGATAAAGATAATAAATAAATGGAATATATGGAGAGCCACGATTGCTTACATGCCGAAGAGACATAAGCTTTAAAAAGATCATTATTAATCCATGGCATGTTACCAAATTATTTTCTACTGGATAGTGTCACTGAAAATGTACTGTCACCATCACCATTAACCAACCAATTCCATAGTGACCCCTACATCTTTCTCCATGATTTCCTCATTGAAGATGGTGCACAGTCTCGTATTTGTCACCTGTGGAGCTCTCTTTTGGCTTCTTGTCTCCCTGTCAACTACAATCTTCAAAAATCGAAATTTACAGCAACATCAATCATCATCTTTTTTTAATACCATTCTTCTATTGTTTTCTCTTCAGTAAAAAAAATTTTTATAATTTCACACCTAGCAAGACTATAAAAGCTGCAAGGGTTACTGAGAGTGAAAGAAGCAGAGAGGATAATAAAAGAACAGGTTTCAAGGAGACAGAAGATGGTGATTGACATTGCATTAAAATTTTTGAAGATCATATCTGACAGAAAAGCAAGAAGCTGGAAGATTGTTCCACAGAAGATGATGATTGACATTGCATTTAAACTTTTGAAGATCATACTTGACAGGAAATGAGGAAATCAAGATAGTTTCACAAGCGAGATGTACAAAAGGAGAAACTATTAGCATAAAAACTATGGTGACAACGAGCAATTTCAACAAAGGAATTATGAGACCTAGCTGCCAATCTAGTATTGAGCTTAAATTCATGAACTGAAGTAACCAATGAAGAAAGCTCAACAGAACAATTACTGTGTAAATATTTACAGAAGAAGCATATATTATGGTGGTGGGAGAGTGACAGAAATTGAGAGGCCAGATCAGGGCCGATAGCAGCCTTATTGCCTTGTTTGAGGAGAAATGAGATTTTTAAAAGTTCAGAATAAAAGGGTAGGTTGCAAATAGGGTAGAAACAGGGTTAAATAAAGTGGACAGTTTGGAATAAATAGACATATTGGAATAAAGTAGAAAATAAAATAAATGGAGAAGACAGGAATAACAGTGGGTAAGTTGAATTATGATCTCTATCTATAAAAGGCAGGATGTGTGTGTGTGTGTGTGTGTGTGTGTGTGTGTGTGTGACGAATGCATGGCCGCAATTTTTGACAGATTTGCACCAAAATTTACATGCACATGCTCCAAGTTAGTGGGAAGGCCAAGACTGACTTTGCATTTCCCAACTCCCATCGATAGTGTAAATAATCGATTTTTTCATGTTTCTGTGGCAGTTTTCATATAGTTTGTGGCCATTTTCTACTGGCCATAGTGAGAGCCTATAGCTGGCTGCCACGAATAGGCAGGAAGATTCTATTGGCCAGCGTGAGAGCTAACAGCTGACTGACATGAATGTTAACTAGCATGCTAGTATGCAAAAAAATCGATAGCTGCATTCGTCAAAAAAAATTTAAATCTGCATGGCACTTTACTTCAATTGGCTCATTCGCTTGCTTAAACTCAACGTTGATTCTGATTCCGCAGAACTGGGTTGGGTGTGAAAAAGTATTTGTTGTTAACATTCTTTTTTCCTTTGGTTTTTCCAGTTACGAGTCCTTTTTTAAAGCTGATCGTTTTGTGTTCATTTTCTTTAGTTCTTTTTTCATAACAGATTTAATGTTTAGTATAGAGCTTAGAAAAAATTTGCAGTGTGAGATAGGCAAGAAGTAAGGCATGTAGCAACATCAGCATGGCAAAGGGCACTCCTTTAAAGGCAAGGAAGTGCAAAAATATTTTAAGTCAAGTGATAGCGATTTCTGTATGAGTCGTACAATTTTTTAATCAAGCACGGGCAATGCCGGGCCATGCTGCTAGTCAAAATATAAATAACCAGCCAGGCATGTCTATGGTGGTCATGATAAAGAAGACGCTATCTCTAACAGTTTCTGCAACTTACATGACTTTTTAAAAAATCATTTCACCCCAATCAAGGCGATTATGCTACAAGGGATTACTGAGAATGAAATAAAATCAAGACTTTAGTCCAGAGAAAGGACAATAATGGAACAGATTTCAGGAAGACAGAAGATGTCGCATTCAAATTTTTGAAGATGGAAGAGAAGCAAGAAAACAGAAGAAATTTTCACAGGTGAGAAATGTGAGAAAAGAAAGAGAATATAACTTAAAGTTGCATCTAGATATCTCAATAGTAAAACAATGAGACCTTGTTGGTAACCTAGTAGTACACTTAAATTCATGCGACTGATGTGCCAAGGAGGAGAGCCCAATAGAACAATTGCCATAAAATATTTATAGAAAAGCCAGAGAGAAGCTACATTGTAGTGGTGAGAAAAATGATTGAAGTTGAGACGCCAGGTCATGGCCAATAACATCATAGACTCTCCTTCAGATATCTCAGAGAACCAGATATGGCAGCAATATTCAATATACAATATTCAATGAGAAAAATGGATTCTGGTGAACCAATTTTCATAGCAGCAGACTTAGCAACTGGTTCAATATAATCATTCCACTTCATGTCAGTAGAAAACATATCGAGAAGGATGCAATGAGTTTCTTTCCTGGAGGTTAGCATCAGCCATGCTGTTGGAAGACAAGAATGATTCACTAAGATGATTAAAAGATAGCAGTTTCATTTTGGAAGCATTATTATTTACAAGCCATTTTCTTGTCCCAGTTAACAACTGAGCGGAGGTCATTTTCAAGAGCAGCTGCCAATTTTGCTTTGTAAGAGTATCAATCATTTTGCTTTTTTATGGGAGCATGGTGTGGGTTCAGTCAGTCAGTTATGTGCCATGCATGATACATGCTTAGGCGATCATGTATCTTTCAATACATGACTGACAAGGAAGATTTTTTCTTCCCGCAGTAGGTTGCCATTTCTTTCTGTGATAGACCAGTTGCCATCAAAGGCTATAGAACCCAATCTGTCCTGCTATTTACCCATAGCTGGGAGAAGAAGAAGAGGATTCATACCTTTCCTAAGGCTATTAGCATGTAAGGGAATGTAATGAATTTGACTGAAATTCAAACTCAGCTTTCCAATTTCTCAATCCGAGCCGCTAACCATTACTTCTCCGTGCCTCCTCCCAGTGCATGTTACTAAGTGTTTTTATTGAGTCACCATCTCTAGATAAATTGTCAACCAAGTCAGAAGGGTTTCTGTCTATATCTCTGAGATGAGGCATTATGATTACTTGCATTATTTACAATATTTGGACTGTTATCTTCATCTTCATTGTAACATTGAGGGACATATGGCCCATTGGATAAAGATGTTGGTTAGATCCAGTGACCAAACCCAAAGAGTTGTGATTTCAATACCAGGCCACAGCAGTGGTGAACCAAAAACTTGGAGAGTTGGGTAAAAGGGAAATAACTGAGACATCAGGAAGAGGCATGGTACGTGAAACTAGAACAATTTACCTTGGGGGACAAAATAAAGGTTTTCGTTTAAAATTCCAATCACCTGAAGAAGGCCAAATCACATGACAGCCGAAAGGTTGTGAATATGGCAATGAAGATGTGGATAACATTCCGAATAATGTAAATAATGCAAGTAATCAAAAGAGTTTCTATATGTGAATTAACACACCAATTAATGGCACTCACAATTGTTTTCTCTACCATGTTTAACTCACAAGTCATTGTATGGCTTTCAGGCACTTTCCAACAGCAGGCTGGGACCATTTCAGTTAATTAACCACTGGGATATACAAAGCCCAGGTTTCATGTTCAGTCTAGCCATTCAACTACACACCTACAGATTATAAAATAATCATGAAATAATGCATCATTCGTATTTATTTTCTTGACCCCATTGAAGACTTTTCAATATTTTTTATATTATCTGATCAATATCACTTCGCCACTACCATAACACAGCCTCCCTGTGCCTTTTCTAAAAATAATTTCACTGTAATTGTACTGACAAACTTTCCTCTTTGGTATCTTTACAAATTTAAGTCCAGTACGACATTGGCCAGTGTGGTGTCCTGTATATCAGCTTGGAATGAGAAATCGGAAAGCTGAGTTCCAATTTCAGTCGGGTTTGTTAAATCTACTTATGCACAAATACCCTTGGGAAAGATATGAATCCATCTTTTCTCCCCTCAGCTATGGGTGGATTAGAAAGACAGACTGGGTGCTATAGCCTTGATTGGCATTCAATCTACCACAGAAAGAAACAGCAACCTGCTGCAGAAAAATCTTCTGCCAAGTCATTAATGAATCGAATGAGACATAATTGTCCTAGTGTGTATCATGTCTGACACTTCACCAGCTGACTAGATTGAATTGGTTAGATGCATCTGTAAGTTTTATGCTAATTGTATCTTCTCTCACACTTCTGGCCTTTTAGTTTCCAGTCAACTTTGATCTTAAAAATATTAAATACAATATCAATCGTGATTTTTTGTCATCTTAATTCCTTTATTGTTCTCGCTCCTTAATAATGTTTCTCTTTTCCTCTTATTCTTTCTCACTCTTTTCTTCTTGCATCTTAGAGGCTTTATTGCCTTGCTTGGGGTGAAATGATTAAAAAAACAATTCCTGAAGTCAATAAATTGTCAGTGAGCCAAATTAAAACAGACATGTTTGTGCAATCATAACAATAAATAAATAAAAATGCTGCTGATATATTAAAGGTACACATTTTGATCACACATGTCACCAGATGATTTCGAGCTAAACAATTTTAATTTGCTTCACATCTGACAAATAAACCAATTGGTCCTTACCTTCTTTCTGACATGATAGTCTGATGGGTTGGGAGACAAATACGAATAGGTGTGAACATTGTAGGTTGTGTATTCTTGAAGTTTGTAATATTGAGGTACCTGGTGTAGAAAAAGAAGGAAAAAAAAAGAAAATTTAATTAAGAAAGCAATTCAGGCAGCACCTCCATTCAGTTTTCACCAACAACGATATTTTTGAAGAAGATGGAAACTTGATTGAAAAGAAAAATAATAAATAACACAATAAAAGTCAGTCACAATCTCTTATTGGCAGTGAATAGTTTATTTTGTCTAATTACACTTTTACGACAAAGTCCCACATCAGATGCCCATTTTGGCAAATTTATTTGAAAGGAACTCAAACTTTAGAATATTAAATAGCAGATACAAATAGTTTATAGATATTATCAAACTAATAATACATTTTTAAAAAGTTACAGTTTGGTGTTATCAATTACTTTTCCCTTTATCATTAACTTTTAAATTCCCTATTCAACACTAAAAATGCATATAATATAAAAAATATAGACAATCTTCATTTGGTAGATGCCTCCTGCTCATAATAAGAACAGTTTATTATAAACTGATAATGGAAGAGACTCAAAATTAGGCCTGAAATAGGATTTCAAATGCCAACAGGAGACACTGAGAAGACTTTGAAAGGTAGAAACATTATCCCTGCCCACTCAAGAACAGGCTACACTGACCACGGGCTAACCTGAATAATGCAAGGACAATGCAGCTAATACAAGCAGAATATGCACACCATATTTTTAGTGAGCCTCTATTCTCTTTCTTCTTATGCATTGTGTTTCTAGTATAAAGTATGTTTTTACAAAGTTCAATTGTCTCACTTTGTTCTTCAAGCCATGACTCAGTTTGTGGATTCATTAAATTTCCCATCATAGACAATGAAATCAAATATGACTGATCATGTATGTTATTGCCTGTGAAAGGTTGATAAGACATAAAAGACAAATTCATCAACCTATTTAAACCTTCATATTCAACCAACAGTTGTTTCCAAAAGTATTCACAAAACATGAAAACTCTAATTTTATTGTCAAAATTATTATTTATATAGAGCTAAGTTCTAATTCTAGTTGGGTTCATTATGTTTACTTGCAAATATACTTGGGAAACGTAGCAACCCAACTCTGCTCCCCTCAGCTATAGGTTAATTAGTATCAGCCGATCATGATTATTTCAAAAAAAAAATTCTTACAATATAAAAATATTTTCTGTCTTTATATAACCTGCAAAAGGTTAATAAGTTCAAGATCAAATACATATTTATAGCCAGAGTTAGGGCACTTCGACATTGTGTAAAGGCTAGGAAGCATGTCTCATTAGATCAATTATGACTGAGTAATGACTTCAACCTCACTGAGTCTCAACACTTTAGGCCTTGTGCCACATCTAAGCTACACTTAGAAATTCACTATAGCCAAGGTTATTCATCATACCAAAATGTTGAATATACACATTTAACTTAAAAGCATTAACTCTACAACCATCTGATATGATACTCTTGTCATTTGAATTCTGCTTTGATCATAAATTTTTTCAAATCCTGAATTCAGATGCCTCAAAAAATATCCTATACAAAACATTGTGTCTGGTCAATACCTAGATGGTTGACTGCAGCCCCGTAACTGATAACAGTTCAGAATTCGAAATTGGAAATCGCAGAGCAGACTTCCAATTCAAGTTGGCTTTGTTATATTTATTTACATGCAAATACCCTTGGAAAATGTATAAATCCAGCTCTTCTCCCCCCAGATATGGGTTAAATAGTAGAACTTGCATCAGCAAATCGTGGATATCTAAAAAATATTTTTACAATCTTAAAATTCTTTCCGACTTCATATAACCTTCAAAAGGTTAATAAGCTGTAAAAGAAAAAAAACAAGTCCATCTAGCCATTCACAAGGACATTGGTGGGACGTGAACGCAACAGGCTAAACTTGAAATTGAACCTACTTCCATTTACTGTACAGATAACTGTTACACTATGTACAATATCAGATACATATTTATAGCTGGGGATATTCAACACACCAGACTGTTGAAAATATTTAACTTAAAAGCACTAATTCTACAACCATCTGATACGAGCCTCTTGTTCAAAACTGAACAATTTCAAACTACCATAAGCTTAACTTCTTTCAAAACCTGAATTCAGATGCTTTCGAACAATATATCGTAGAAAACGATACACTGCTTCCTAAACTGAGAATCAGGTTCTTAAATTACTTTCTCCTTGTTTGCTTATCTCCAACATTTCCCTTGTCTCTTTATGCAGCCGCCAAGATTTTAGCAAACCAATTTGGGTAAGTTTCCAACAATTAAGCAAGGAAAGACAGAAGAAGGGGAAGGAATGGCCATGACATTAGTAGTTGGCAAGCGTAAAGAGATATCCCGAAGCCTACCAGGTTCAGCATGCTGTGGGATTTCGCGGTCAGGTTCTTCGCACTGGTGCCAAGCTGCCTGAAGACTCGTTTTGAAATGCATGACTCTACTTCCCTAGAGTTTTTGCCGATCAGGAGAGGTGAGGTAATTGTTACAGACATTGAGATCAATGATATTCATAAAACATTGCCCAGCTGGGCAAATACCAAAATGAAGAAAGTTAAATGAGATACACCAAATTATCCCTATCAGAGATAATTATACAACATGGATAAGGTAGATTTTAGAAGTACAGAAAATGGCAGGCTTCTCAAAGATTGTTAAAATAACGTTTTATTACCATTATTTCTTTTTAATTATTTATTATAGCAATTCATTTAGCTTATAATTATTATTAATATTATGATTATTAAAGGATTATTGATTGATTAATAGATTTTTTATGGCTTATCAACCCTTTGCATATTATTTAATGCCAGAAAATATTTTTAGATTGTAAGAAAAAATTTTTGGAGAAAAAGTAATTTGCTGATGCAAGTTGTACTAATGGAGGCATGGTGGAATAATGTATAGAAGCTCGGATTGAGGAATTGTAGAGCTGAGTTCAAATTCCAATCAGATCCATTACATTCACTTATGGGCTAATACCCTTGAGAAAGGTATGAATCCTCTTCTTCTCCCCCCAGCTATGAGTGAATAGTAGGATAGACTGTGTTCTATAGTCTTAGTGGGGCAACTGGTCTAGGAGAAAGTAATTCTTAATTCAAAACTATATGTAGCCCTGGCATAGCACATACTATACAGCTAAAGAAAGGATCATTCACATTGGCTCAATGATACAGACTACAGTCAAATGATGATGATGATGATGATGTACTAATTAACCCATAGCTGCAAGAACAGAGATGTTTTTATTTATTTATTCATTTTCTACAGCTTATCAAACCTTTGCAGATTTTTAAAACCAGAAAATATTTTTAGATTGTTAGAAAAAATGTCTTTGGAGAAAACAATGATTTACTGATACAAGTCCTACTAGTTAACCCATAGATAGGAGGAGAAAATGTGGATCCATACCTTTCTCAAGGGTATTTGCTTGTAAGTGAATATAATGAACCCAACTGGAATTAGAACTCAGCTCTCTGATTACACCACCCATACATACAAGCTTAGAGCACCTGGTATTCCCAAGAAATCATCCATCTTGGTTACTGACCAGACTCAACTTTGCTTAACTTTGGTGAATGTACAGGAACTAGTGTTTCAAAGTGAAGCAGCCATAAGTCCCACAAGAAGATATGCATTCATACCTGTCCCAAAGGTATTTGCACATAAGTGAATATAACAGACCCAACTGGAATTGGAACTCAGCTCTTAGATTTTCAATTCCAAGTTGTTACCCATTACACCGCACACACATCCAAGTTTACAGCACTTGGTATTCGTAAGCAGTCACCAATCTTGGTACTGACCAGGCACAACATTTCTTAACTTCAGTGATTGTACAAGAACTGATGTTTGAATGTGATATGGCCATAAGCCTGTGAATGGCAAAAATCCAACTCAGTTATGTGTTAAGTATCAGTTTAAATTTGTAGCACTCTAGCCTTGGCTAGAAACCAGTTTAGGAAAAGAACAAGTCTGAATTTAGAAACTGCAGAGAAGGCAATAGGAAATTATTTTTCCCAAGGTACCCTGACATTTTCACAGATAATCAAGAATTCAAAGCTCACAGCAGCTGATATCCCAACCTGGTCACCTATCTGAGTAGCAGGAACATGCCATCTAAGTAGACAAGGCAGGCAGTGCCTACCCTGAATAAAATAAGTCAGCAGCTACATTTTCTTTCTGTAGTAGAATATGCACATAATCCAACAAAATTATGAAGATTACACTGATTATTAGACATAAAATGCAAAGTAGTTTTTTTTTAATAGATTTACTGCAGAAAGGTCACAAACTGCCTACCCTGAGTAATTACTCATGGCACATGCCTGCTAAGTACTGACCAGACTTGATGTTGCTTAACTTTGGTGATTGTAAGAGATCTGATGTTTCAACATGATATGACTTGTAGTATTAGTATTGTGGGTTTTTCAAAGAATCTATTTAAAATATTATAGATATATCATTTAGGTTTTAATTATCTTTTTATAGATTATCTTTTGGGGTTTTATAGGATAAATAAAAACAAAAAAAAATAACAAAAAGGCTACAATTTGAGAAATTAAATTAAAAGGCAAGTATTAAAAAATGAATTTTGAAAATTCAAAAATTCCAATATGCAAAAATAGATTTCATTTTTATTAGGCTCATTTAAACCCATTTACGACCAATCTATCTCCTCTTCAAATCGTTTTTTTTTCTTCATATTACAATCTTGGAACAAAAATGTGGATGTTTCTATCAGAATTATTAGTCTTTACTTTACAGTCATGTGCTTGTAATTCACACAGTTATTATAACTAAAGCCAGAAACTCCTTGTATTTCGTTGATTTTTAAATTTTTGCATGTTTATAAGTCAAGGGTGAAATTTTGCTATTTTTGTTTTTGACTTATGTCATCGCAAACTACTGGGCGTAATAAACATTATTTTCATTACGTTTTAAGTAAAACTAAAAACAATTGTTACTTTTACACAATCCAGTTAAATTTACTAACTGGCTTTAAAACACATCTCTAGGACACATCTCTTGTATTTTTAAATTCGTTGTTTATATTTTTTGTCTCTTGTGTAATGGATATCAGATCAGATGAATAAGAGATCAGGGAAGCAAGTTCAAATTCCAGTCAGGTTTGTTATATTCACTTAGGTGCAAATACCCCCAGCTATGGGTTGAATAGCAGATTGAACAACCAGTCTATTGCATAAAAAGTAACAGCACCCTACTGCAGGAAAGATTTGCCTAGTCAGTCATGTATCAAAAGATGTATGATCATCCAAAAGTTATTCCAAAAACTACATGGATAATCATCTTGCACTTGCTAAATATTAAGGAAAAACATATTTTAAGTGTTCAAGCCTTCTTGGGAGTATGAAGTTTCAAGAGCACTTTTCTTCTCAGTTTTGGAATAATTTTTTTGATTCTAAGATGTTTTGAATTCAATCAATTGCTAGATCTGCTGCTAGAAAAATTGGTTTACTGTGTCATGCTCAACAATTGTTCTTGTCAGAATCATTCTTACACATTTATAGATCTACCATCTGTTTTTGCTTTGAATATTGCTGCCACATCTGGTCTGGATGATTTGCTATATATTTAGAGATCCCTGATGAAATACAAATAATGTCACCTTCAGTCACTCACTGTAATGAGGCTTCCCTCTGGCTTTTTTTATAAATATTTTCATTGTAATTGTTCTGATGAGCTTTCCTCTTTGGTACCTAGACTTCACTAATTTAAGTGCAGTGCTAGGTTGGCAACTGTTGTGTCAGAAACCTACCACCCCTCTTGAAGATGAACTTATCTGCGTCTGTGAACAAAGACTTTAAATAGTGGCATGTCAAAAGACAGAGAGACAGAGAAGTTCTTAGCTGAGCTAGTTATTGACTACTCAGGCGATTTCTGTACCTATTTACCAACCTATTAAAACCCTTTTTATTGTAACGTGTTATTTGGCGTTTGTCTCTACTAACCCCAAATCAACATCATAACAGCAACAAAGTCACATGATTTTACAGTTGAAGTGGCGAGATATAACCGTAAGTTCTATGCTAATATTTTAATAATTCTATCACACTTCTCACTCGTGGAACTCTTCTGGCTTGTTGCTTTCCTGTTAAATTTGATCTTCAAAAGTTTAAATGTAATGTCAATCATTATCTCCTGTTTCCTTAATTCCTGTTCTTTTATTGTTCTCCCTCCTTAATAATGTTCTTCTTTTCAACCCAAAACAAGATTATCATTCGATTTTATATGTTGAAATAATCCTTTATGTGGACACTGTAGTAATACTAACATTCATGAAAATAACTCTCAAAGTACATCATATTTTTCTTGACATTTATTATGAATATAATCATGAGGCAATAAAGCTTTTCCCTATAAAAAAAAAATATCTAAACACAGACCCAAAGGTCAAAGATCAATGAACTTAACTTTATTCAATTTACCTAAACTTTTGGAGAGCAACTTGTATACACAGACTTATATATACCTTAGTTAATGTATATATACAGTAGTTACCAACTCGTGGCCATTACTACATATCTTTTTGGAAAATATCTACTGATGTGCTGAATAAATGTGGCTCAGCAAGTAACCTACATACTCTGGCACAAACAGGGCACTTAAGCAGTCCAACAGCGGGTGGTACATTGTCATGCAATTTAAAATGTTGCATGAAACCGCTTCTGGACCCACATATCATACCACAAATATCACATTTCAGTTGCTGGATGTCTCCGGCTTTATAGTCAATTACCACCCTCCATTGGTGTGCTCTCAAGTGACTCCTTAGACCAGCCATTGATAAACACACTCTACTACAATTTGTACATATCAGATTGAGCTGCCTGCAGGTTTCTTCAGGAAGTTCAATGGGGACACCTCTACGCACATCTCTTTTAAGCTTTGCATGCTTCCTCTTCTCCTCCATACATATTTTATATATATATATATATATATATATATATATATATATATATATAAAATTTATATATATATATATATATATATATATATAAATATTATATATATATATATATATATATATATATATATATAAATTTATATATATATATATATATATATATATATATATATATATATATTAATTTATATTAGGTGGCAACTTTTCTTTTGAACATCTTTTTTGTTAAATATGATGGACAAGGAAAATTTTATTAATTTTTATTCAGTTTTTTTCAGTGTTCTTACATTTGTTTTTCATTTGGTGGGAGTGAGCAAGTACTAGAGCCCTTTGTAAATCAAATTTCTGGAAACACCTCATTATAAAAGAGGCCCAGTACATCAAACAGCTCTCCCCCACCATCAGCTTTACATTGTTTAACAAGTGCTAAAAGTCTTTTAAAAATAGAAAGTCACTCACTTGAATTCCAGCCATGCCCAAAACATGACGTCTACTCCTGCTATAATTC